TGCCACTGTTTCTTGCACTTGTTTTCTTGCACTTAGAAAATTTGAAGGATTGATGTAATAAAATTTACCTGTTTTCTTGTTGAAATTTGTAACTTTAAGTGGAGAAGAGGAGGTGCAGAGATGTTATGTCAAATAAGTTGTGCTTAATTTTGTGTTTTGCTTACTAATTTTGTTCAATTCTGCTTCAATGTGATGAACAAATTAGAGATAAATTGTGATCCTTTTTGTATGTGATGTTAATAATTTTGCTAAATGTGCTTGTCAATTTTTCTGCTTTAAATTACTGATGAAAGTATTAGGATACCGTAAGAATTTCAGATTCTCTTTCTAATACCATGACATGCAGTATAACATAAAATCGATTTTTCAATATAATGAGGATTAAAAACATTACCAAAAATAACTAAAAATCACTCCACGCCATTAAGTAGCCAACTGAACTGAAACACGTGCATTGCACGTGCGTCGACTAATTATAGTTATAAGCTATGGATTTCAAATATTAATTTCGTCAGTAATCGCCTTCGTGAAATTATATGTAGTAATTTGTTATTTGAGACATTAATTTTCTAAAATTTTGTTGTTTCAAATAAGAAGTTAATGTATCAATAACAAACTGAAGCATAGAATGACTACTACAGTCATTGATTATGAATAGCGTTATTCTATTAGAATATTACAAGTGTTATGGCGGACATAAGTAAAATTATATAATAAAAAATATTACTAAAGATAAAATGAAAACATTAAAATTACAAGAATATCTAAAAATTTAACCGAAAGTGTCGCGTTTGGTCAAGCTGACAAGTTCATTGATGATAAGTTTGATTTAGATTTTTTGATAATAAATGTTGTAAAAGTATTTTTCTGAAAGATTATACGGTTGAAAAGTCAGAAGAGTTATAAATTCACTTGTAAAATTATTTATTTTGAAAATACGTGGTTAAAATAAATTTTAAAGAATTTGTATCAAACATGTGTTAAAACTTTCTCCATTAGAAGTTTGAGTACTAGAAAGTAGACACTTTAGTTCATATGGCTTAGCCCTTGATTGATGATCATTCTCAAATAGTCATTTTTCAAAGAATGTGTGGTTAAAAATTTAAAAAGTACAAAAAAAAAATAAAATTTTACGTGCAAAATATTTTATTATGTAAACATGTGATTAGAAATGAGTATGAGAATTATAATATTTTGAAATAATAGTTGTCAAATATGGATTTGATTGAATTTTCATATTGTCGATGATAATCATAAACTGTAATTTACAATCTAAATCGGAAATACATATATTTTGCTAATATTAGCATTACAAACTTAAAAATGTATTATAGTTTTAGCCCTTGTTTGAACACATTTTAAGAGAAAATATATTTTTTTGAATATTGATTTTCTGCTAATGTATGGTTTAAAATGAAGAATTTTTTTTGATTTACGTGTAATATTATTTTATTGAAAAATGTGTGGTTAAAAATGAATTTTAAAAAAATGAACATTTGATAAAATGGGGGTTCAAACACGTGCTTAATTTCAATAATTAGATCTTTAGTAGCCTCATATTTTTCATACATGTTTTTCATCTCTCTATTATTTTTATTCAAAGAAAAATTCAATTGTCAATACTAAAAGGCCTGTTTGTTTTTAATTTTTAAATTCTACAGTAAATCAATTCTCATTTTCAATCACACATTTTTCAATAAAATAATATTTTCCATCACATCAATAATTTCTTCTTCTTTTTCAACCACACATTTCCCATCGTATCACTATTTAAAAATCAATTTTTCCTCCAAAAATCTCTACCAAACAAACGCTTACGGCCTGTTTGGTATAGATTTTCATTTTCTACAGTAAATCAATTCTCATTTTTAACTACACATTCTTCAATAAAATAATATTTTTCATCACATCAATACTTTTTTCTTCTTTTTCAATCATATATTTCCCATTATATCACTATTCAAAAATCAATTCTTGCACGAAAATTCCTGCCAAACACACTCTTTTGATCATGCGAATAATGAATACTATTTTACACGATTTTAGTTGAATTGAACAAACTACGAAAAACGATAAATTTAGAGCAGAAGTTTGGGAATCGGAATTCAAAAATCCATTCCGGATAATTTCAGTATCGCGATCAGAGTAGGGAACGAGAAGGCGGTCCGGTTAGCGGCTGGTGTTTGATAATTTTTCCGGCGACGGATAGTTTGGGGCTTTTTCCAATTTTCCCTAAACCCTAAAAATCCCAATGGCTGCAAAGCCCAAGTCCCGCTCAGTTCTTGAACCCATCGCAGATTCCGCAATAGATACCAGCAACTCTCCGATCAAATCTGTGTCACTCTCAAAACTCTCCGACACCGAAACACTAATTTATCTCGGTACCCTCTCCGGCACTCTGTTGTTATATTCTCTCAAGTATTCGCAGGATTCCCCTCCCGGAATTTCTTTTCTCAGACGCGTTTCCGTATCAGGTACTGGTAACCCTGTAAATTCGATCCACCCACTCGCCCACATCGGTAAAGTTGTAGTACTCTGCGATGGCTTTCTCTTTTTGCTCGATGATAAATTACTCCAACCTGCTAAAAGAATTAGTCTGATCAAAGGCGTTACTGCATTTTGTCGTAAATTCCGAAGCCAAAAGTTTGGTTATAACCCTTTTCCACAAAGATCTAACGGTGGAAGTTATACTAATCATAACTATGATAATGCTAATAATAGCAATAGCAATAGTTTATTTGCGATTGGAATGGGAAAAAAGTTGGTATTGGCGGAGTTGATTTTAAGTGGGTCTTTGGTGATTTTGAAGGAGATTCAGGGCATTTTCGATGGGATTATAATGAATCTGGCGTGGATTGATGATTCTTTAGTTGTTGGTTCTAAGACGGGCTATTATGTGTATAATTGTGTAAATAAACAGTGTGTATTGATTTTTTCCCTACCGGATTCTTCTAGTTCTCCACAGCTGAAGTTGTTGGCTAGGGAGTGTAGGGTGTTATTGATGGTCGACAACGTGGGTATTATTGTGGATACTGAGGGGCAACCAGTGAGTGGAAGCTTGGTGTTTAAGGAGGTTCCTGATTCCATTGGGGAAATTGGGTCTTATGTGGTTGGTGTGAGGAATGCTATGGCAGAATTGTATCATAAGAAGACAGGAGATTGTGTTCAGAGGTTTAGGGTTGTAGGGGATGGAGGTGGAGGGCTATGCATTGTGAAGGATGAGGAAAATGAAAGTGGCAAGCTGCTTGTCATCACAACATGTTCAAAGGTATGTGATTATTTATCTTGAACTCTTTTTTCGAAGTTTTTTAATAGTATATTACCAGTGTTGCATCCATTTTTAATTTGATATATTTCACACTAGGAAAGATGTGTTTCAAAAAGTCCACAGCTTCTGATGGATTTGCTTGGATAAAAGATGGAGGAGTCAAGGAAAACAATATGTTTTTTAGTTTAGTAATTATACTATATTCTAATAGTTGAAGGCTTGCTGTAAGATGACCTACTGCTACAATTTAGAGTAAAAAGGAATTGTGCGAATCAAAACCATTGATTAAACATCTGGGTGTGACTTACATATCTGGACATGATTCTGGTCAATATATTCGTTGTACTTGTTATTTTATGATTTGAGCTAGGAAAGATTTTGTAATTCTAGGTTCACCTCTGGGCTCTACACTGGGAATTGAATTGAATATGTATATGAGCTTAAACTTAGTACTTTTGGAGTGAGACGCGATTGATATGTTAAATAGACAGTTATTGAGACGACCTGACATAATATGTAATCCGTTTCAATGCAAGGTTATGTGCTACAGAAAGGTTTCTGGAGAAGAACAAATCAAGGATCTGCTGCGAAAGAAGAACTTCAAAGAAACCATTTCCTTGGTTGAAGAGCTACAGAGTGAAGGTGAACTGACAAAAGAAATGCTTTCTTTTGTCCACGCCCAGGTCGGCTTTCTCTTGTTGTTTGACTTGCATTTTGAGGAAGCAGTAGATCACTTTTTGCTTTCAGAAACAATGCAGCCTTCTGAGCTTTTCCCATTCATCATGCGGGACCCAAATCGCTGGACCCTGCTGGTATATCTAAATGCTAGTGATATAACATTCGCACGTCGTTTCCTATTCTTATAATTTATAGCCAAACCATGAATGTTACTCCCTAAAAAAGTGATTTAGCATTTGGTACGCTTTTTTTTTTCTTTCTTTCGAGCTGTTGAAAAGGACTGTTTTATATAGGTCGTGTTTAACTGGGTATGTGTTTGATCTTTCTACTGTTGTGTTCGACTGAATAAGAATTGCCATTGCCTCAAAACATATGAATTTATGATAGAAGGGGTAAGGGAAGGGTTTCATTGTCGAGAACTCTAGTGCTGGACAGGATAAGATTTTGCATGCATTTTGTAGTCAATTATCTATTGATTGCTTACACTCCCTTTCTTGTCAGTAGAGCATCCTGTGGATGTCATGTAAAACAACCTATCCTCAATAAACACTAACATGTTGTGGTTGTATGCACCACCAAAAATTAAACTGTTGGTTACATGAATATTTCTCGGAAGGATTCATGTGATAAGATTTATCAAAGTTTTATGTTAGCTGTCAACCTAATAGCATTGTGGTTGTCTAATTAATAAAATTAATATTACTGAGTTTGTAGCTATCTTCTTCTAAAGGATCTTGCTTTCAGAAGAGAGATGCTATCTCACTAGAACAGTAGAGAGAGAGAGAGAGAGAGAGAGAGAGAGAGAGAGAGAGAGAGAGAGTGATATGTGCCTGATGTGGTTGAAAAATATTCGATTTGACTGAACCACTCATAAGAGGATCCGACACTGAGTTTATCATTACAAAGCTTAGCTTTTGGTTCTTTGATTTATAGTTGTCTATTGAGTTATATTATCTGGCGATTTGTCAGTTAGGAGAAATAAAGTAAAACATAAAAGGAACATGATGTAGCTTCTGTATTTATTGTTGATACTACAAGCAGATTGGAGGAATGTGGATTTGATAAATGAAAAAAATAGAACATTTCTCTCCGTCGATCTCCCTTCTCTCTGCACATGCATACTTACACGTCATTTCATTGTGCGTATTGCGTATAGTACCTTCCCTGTTTTTCATTGTATTTTTCTTGTTTTTGAATTGTCTGAGAACTCAATGAAATGTCTATTTTCAGGTTCCAAGGAATCGATATTGGGGATTGCATCCTCCTCCAACACCTCTTGAAAATGTTATAGATGATGGGTTGACAGCTATTCAAAGAGCTGTTTTTCTTAAGAAAGCAGGTGTGGAGACTGCTGTAGATGATGAGTTTCATCTAAATCCACCTAGTAGAGCTGATTTGTTAGAGTCTGCAATACAAAACATGATAAGGTGATTTTTGGTTTCTGTTGGTAAATAATTGACTTCCGGCTGAGAAAGAAAGGATGTGTCTTATGTGTGGATAAAGCATTCTATATTTTTAGTCTACTATTTATATCTTATCTTCTCACTCTAACTACGCTCATTTGTTGTAGATATTTACAAGCTTGTCGTGATAGAGATTTGACCCAATCAGTTGGGGAAGGAGTTGACACCCTTCTAATGTATCTGTATAGAGCCCTCAATCGTGTAGATGATATGGAAAGACTTGCATCTAGTGAGAACAGCTGCGTAGTGGTATGAATTATCGTACTTTTTTCCTTGCTCAACTGAAAATTTCATTTATGGACTGGCTTTAACTTGTTTGTACGCTTCGTTTATCTGAAATATTCTTTTGTTTGTACACCGGCGGTCAAGTTTCCAGTAGAGTGATGAATGTTAATTTCATTTTATGTCAATGCTGTTCTTTAGCTTGCAGAAAAAAAAATCAGTTAGAGGTTCCACTCTTAGAAGTTGTGAGCCCTTTCGAACGCCCCCACCCCCCATCTCTCTACTGGAATTACAAATTGTATGGTTCTTCCCGTTCTCCTAAGCTTTGACTTTTGTTGAATGAATTGCTATTTGGACATTGAGGTCTGAAAGTTGATTTTTGACGATGTTGATTATACGGTTTCCTACTCTTAAGCTTACAATCTTTAGTAGGGTTTTAGGTTTCATACTATTGTCTTGGGTTTATTATAGAGTTGGCATTAATTTCTTGTATACACCTCAATGAATTGCAGTTTGTTGTTTGTTGATGAGCAGCATAATTAATAATTCTATTGGGATTGTTGAGCAACTTAAACGTTAACTATGAAAATCAATGGGCAGTGCAGGAGGAGTTAGAAACATTATTGAATGACTCTGGTCACCTAAGGACACTTGCTTTTCTGTATGCTCGGAAGGGGATGAGTGCTAAAGCTCTGGGTATTTGGCGCATACTTGCAAGAAATTATTCACAGGGAAGCTATTATAGAGGACCAGAGGAAACTGGTTCAACAACAGAGAATGAAGATTCGACTGCTGATTTAAAAGTTTCTTCTAGAAATGTTATATTTGGCCGAGAAACAGCTGCATTAGAGGCATCAAGGATTCTTGAGGAGTCTTCTGACCAGGAACTGGTACTTCAGCATCTTGGGTGGGTAAGTAACAATAGTTTTGAAATTATAAGCTTTGTGCTTGACATATGACGTATCTGATTACTGATGGGTTATTAATTTTTCGCCTTAGATTGCAGATATCAACCAGATGCTTGCTGTTCAAGTACTGATATCAGAAAAAAGAACTGATCAGCTATCACCAGGTAAGGCTTTTAATAAGCGCATGTTCTGGAATATTGGCTTCAAAGGCTGTATAAGAATCAAGCTTGCAATTATAATATCTTTTTCGCTCTTACATCCTTCATTGATTAATTTCTGTTTTTGGTTAACATAAACTCCAAATTGCAGATGAAGTTATTGCTGCAATTGATCTCAAGAAAGTGGAAATTCTTCAAAGGTATAGCCTGGTAATTTTTGCAGTATTGTACGTGCTCAATAATTTTTTTTTTGATTGTTGCTATTAGCTATTACTAACTTCTGAGAGGGGGTGGGTGCTGCAATAGAAGGAAAGAAAAAGTTTATGATGTTCCGAGGGCATAATGCTTCAACTTTGTATTTTCTTCTGTACAGTAGGCTTGTGCCTCCTTATCTGTCTCTGTTGTTTTTGAATTCGTACGATAATTTTCCTTGAGATTTGTCTCTCATCATATTTTTGATAATGTTATTTGGTTTAAAATGTTCATGTAATATTATGAGCACTGGCGATCTGATTTGGTTAGGAAACTCCTCACCTATTTAATAAGCTTTCTATAAACTGAATCGTTCTTCGTTTTAATTTTATCTGCAAATTAACTCCTTGAATTTGAGAGTAAACTTAATAATACTTGACTAAGTATTATGAAAATGGTTAAGATCTGTCAAATTGGCCTATATGTATAAAAGTATGGATTAATTAATCCAGGATAATCTGTAAATAAGGTACTTACATATGAACAGTGCATCTTTCCGTCTCTTTTTTGTCACGGACATCCATGTCAGGTATCATATTAGTTACTGCAAATTAAACTCTAATGCTTATCACCTTATTATTGCAGATATCTCCAGTGGTTGATTGAGGAACAATACTCTGATGACACTCGATTTCATACTACGTATGCACTTTTGCTTGCCAAGTCAGCACTAGAAACTTATGAGATGGAACTATCAACTCAAAATTCTGTTGCTGGCATGCTAAAAAATGAGATGTATGTTTCTGAATTTGGAGAAGACTCGATCTTTGAAACTTCTGTTAGGGAGAGATTGCAGATCTTTTTGGAGTCATCAGACTTGTATGATGCAGAAGACGTCCTTGATTTGATAGAAGAATCTGAATTATGGCTGGAAAAGGTTTTCTATGATTCTTTAAGTCATCTTAGGTTTTGCTTGTTGCTGTGCGTCCAGATCCCTTGAGGCACTTGAGCAGTTGAAAATGATTTCCTGTCAAATATTTTACTGTTAAGCTACTGAAGATGATTTCAATTCTCATATTTTTATGACTGACGTAGCATCATGATTTTTGACAGGCTATTCTTTACCGGAAGCTTGGTCATGAGACATTAGTGCTTCAGATTTTGGCCTTGTAAGTTACAGTTAGTTGTCAAAGTGATTGTATACACTCCCTCTCCATTCTCAGTCCCTGAAATTGCTAATAGACGATTCCAATCTTGTCCGTTCTATCAAGTGCCCATGGTTCGATTTTGGTACATTTGATTTCTAAATAGCTAAATAGCAACATGCTGTCATTTCTAATTATAATGCACTCTGTATATGTCAGTAGAGTATAGCATGTGAAATAAATGATTATTCTATCACCTATCAAGATAAATGATGAAGGTGACAAGTTAGTATTTTGAACTATAATGTACTCTTTAATTATAGAAGAGTTGAGGGTTATAATTGCTCAGCTAGCATGTATAATAAATGACTATTTATCAGGACTTAAAATGATATTGGACATTTACTTTATCTCAGGAAACTGGAGGACTGTGAAGCTGCTGAACGATATTGTGTGGAGATTGGTAGACCAGATGCTTATATGCAGTTAGTTCACCTGTCTCACTTTCCAGTTCAAAAGAATGCCGTTAAAAGAACTTTCCTCGTATATTACTTTAATGTTTATGTTATATCATCAGGTTACTTGAGATGTATTTGGATCCAAAGGATGGTAGAGAGCCCATGTTTAAAGCTGCAGTTCGCCATCTCCACAACCATGGAGAAATGCTGGATCCCTTGCAAGTCCTGGAGGTACAAGCTCTATTTCTCCTGCTTCCACTTTACACTTTACGGAGGATGCTTGGAATGAAATCGTTTCTGTTACATATACTGGAAACGATTTAGTATCACAGCTATTGCCTTTGTACTTTAATGTAATGCATTTAGTTTTGGGTCAAGGAGTCCACCCCGTCATACAGGCAGAAATCCTGCTTTCAATTGGATGCTGAGCATATTCCCTTATTTATTTTATGATTGTTGTGTAGAAAAAAACAATTAAATGAATGGAGAATAAGTAGGATAAACTTCATTTTGTAAACGTCATAATTGCAAAATTCCACTGAAACTAATAATTATTGTTCTTCTCTGCCTAACCAACAATGAATGGTTGCACAATGACCGCTTCAAATTGCATGCTGAGCATATTTCTCTTATTGTGCAGACAAAACAATTAAATGAAGGAAAATTGTTAGAATATAGATTAATTTATTGAACACAAGAATTACAAAGTTCTGCTGAAACTATTAATTTTTATTCTTTAGGCCTAACAAACAATGAATGGTTACACAAAGCCGAACACAAGAAAATTTATTCTTATCTTAAGGGGTCATCTTTTCAAAAACTACGATTTTCAGCAGGGTAAAGAGGAAGTGACTCAAATTTAAGAAAGGTTGTTTGCATGAACAATATTTTTGTCACTATTATCTTTACTTGGTTTTTTGGTCGACTCTTCATTTCTTGCTGAATTGAACTTTTCTTTTGCAGAGATTGTCTCCTAACATGCCACTCCAGCTTGCCTCGGATACAATATTAAAAATGCTGAGAGCTCGACTTCATCATCATCGTCAAGGACAAGTATGTTTTGGATGTGTTGCTGCCAATAGTTTATTTAATGTTACCATAAGCTTCACATCTCTTCTAGTGTGATATAGAAACATACATTCTTTGTAGAGAGTTGGTTTCTGGCCATTTCAATTCGTCTTTTAAAATTTATCATTATTGCTTTTGGATTAATTATTTCTTTTGAATCATATTGTTGGATATTAAGTGAGTTGGCTGGTCGTTGGAATATCTAATCTAGGATATTTTGCCTTCGAATTTTTGCGGTTAAAATGATTCCGTTATCTCCTCTACTCATGGAGATATCTTTGGTGAATTTCCAGCCTTAAATTTTGTTCAATGTACACTGAACTATTTCTAGCCTTGACCTTCTGTAACTTTTTACGTTTTCAGATTGTGCACAATTTGTCCCGTGCTTTGGATGTTGATGCGAGCTTGGCAAGATTGGAAGAAAGGTCGCGTCATGTTCTGATTAATGATGAGAGCGTCTGCAATTCTTGTCATGCTCGTCTTGGAACTAAACTATTTGCAATGTACCCTGATGATACCATTGTTTGTTACAAGGTTTGTGATGTTGGGGCCATTTGTCCCTTTTTTTGTATTGCATAATAGTTTGTGCGCCAGTTTAGCTATACATATAACCTTAGTTCCTTCATCTCAAAATAAAAATACCTGTGTATTTTATTATAGGCTTGGTTTCCTTTTTCGTTTGTCCCAAAGTATAGACCACTTTCTTTGTTGAAAGTATAGATCTTTTTTCATTTTCTAATATGCCCCTATTTAGTCCCTATTTGACTTCCATTAAAACATAACTCTTTATTTCTCATATTCATTTTCAACAACACACTCACATAATGAAATTTTCTGTACGTAAAACTAAAACTTTTCCCTACTTTTTAACCACATATTCACAAAAAAATCACTATTCAAAATATCATTCTCTCAATCTCTCTTTATAATGGTCATCAAATAGAGGCTTAATGTACCTTGTTATCAACAAATATAAACTAATCATATTTAAACAATTATTTAATGTATGGGCATATTAGGAAAAATGTAAGAAAAATTTATATTCCCAATTATATCTTAATCTGTGTGAAAATAAAAATAAGCCTATCTTTATGAGATGGATGTACTATTGATAATGAATAAACATAAATATTGAAGGTTAACCATTTTTTGTTTTAATAAACATTTATTTCTGTGGAACCTACTTTTATTGTTACATCTATTTTAATTTATTTAATAAGGGTGGTGCAAAAACACTTGTTTATAATCTTTTTATTTTTTAATGAGCAGTTATTTTCAAAGCATAAGTAAGAGCCATTCTTTTTCTTAAATAGTGAATCTATGAATTATTTTAATTAATGAATAATCTAATGCCTGTCTTAATATCAGCTGATTAAGACAGTTTTCTTGCAGTGTTTTCGTCGCCAAGGCGAGTCTACATCTGTCACAGGTCGTAATTTTGAGAAAGATCCTTTGGCGAAGCCTGGTTGGTTGGTGACTCGGTGATCATGTGAAACGCGTACTTTTGAAATTTACACACAGTGGATGGTGTCAAGGTACGAGATGATTTTAGGCCCCTAACAGAGAGGAGTTGTTGATGAGAGGAGTTTTTATTTTTGAGCAAGTCATCCGTGTTCAATTTTTTTTTATCAGCAGTTGGCTTTGTTACTACCCTTTTCCTGATTTGATGGAGTCCATTAGATTAGCTCTCTGGATGTTATGGAACAATTGTGTAAATTAGTTGGTAGTTTCACATGCTGGAGGTGCAGCATTTGGCCCGTAAGTTGTAAGTTGACAGCAAGATATTGCTGCAGATGCATGCTTGAACCTATTTGCCGAGTTATTAAATTCGAAGAGAAGGAAATCAGTTTTGGGTCTTTACACTATGATGTATAGATGTTGTAACATGTTGAATTGGCTGGCAGATTTGTGTTTAAATGATGATCCTGTATAATTCCCTTCAATATTCGGAAATGTAAAAGGCAATGGGATCTCTTAACAGGTCCCCGTTTTCTCTTTCAACAAGTGCACAGTTGCTATTCATCTTCTGTAATGAAGTATTGTTCTTTTATCTATTATTCACAATAAGCATTGTCATTCAATTATTGTTATTGTTCTTTTGTTGGTTTGTAGAACTTTATGTGACTAGTTGTGACAATCTTACATCTGCCATCCTCTCTTTTATGTTCCTTGTTTACAGATTGAAGAGAGAGAATCCAAGGAAAAAGCCAAATCCTAGAGCTCACATACAATAACAGCCATCCAACTCAGCTTTTTTGCTAAATCTTTCTTATCCTCTCTCACTACCACTACTACTTCCTGCCCCAAATCTAAAACTCATATCTCCACATTTAGCATTTCCACAAAATCCCTTTTACCCTTCGCTTTACCTTTCATTCTACACCAAACTGTATAAAATCAAGAAAAAAATGTCACAATTCCTCCAAGCCTCTCCAAGCCCATTTTAACACCAGAATCAGGAAATCAATACGCCACAAGACCAAGGTTTGCCACCATTTAATGCCTATCAAATTCTCCTTCAGAGCACTCTTCTTCACTAACGGCCTTTTCTGCTGAACTTTGTACTCTCATCCATTTATCTTCTCCAGTACTCCCGGCATCAGCTGACATCTCAGGTCTCACCCCATGCAAGGAGTCGAAGCAGCTTGCCAAGTGTGAGAAACAGGAACTCAAGAAGCTTTAGTCTTCTTGAAACTCCATGCTCCTGATAGTGCTCCTGCTCTTGCCATCAAGGCCACCATGGAGAAGGCCAAGCACAGGTAATTTGCATTCTTCTTCCACTTTTAAATCATTATGAACATAATTGAATTAAAACAACTGAATTGGCCTGTATACATATAAACTTCGATGATTTTAGAAATAAGTATTCGAGCACCACAGGCAGACTGACTCTCGATCTGAGTCGACTTGGTTGTGCACCAGTGTTTGCCTCCTCATTCAGTCCTTGGACTTGACTGTACTGACTCTTTTAACATAGGTAGTTTACTGACTGACCAGTTCTCAAACAAGATCAAATTCATAGTCAAATAATGGAATTAACTACATGATAGAATCATGAATTTGTGTTCATAATGCACAGGTTTTAGAATTATTGTAAGCAAGGACTTTAGTGTGGATCAGACGGTTTGCCTCACTTGATCGTGAGTGGGGATCAGAGACATGGGGTGAGTTCATCACCCCAGGAATTCTTTTCAAATACATTGCTGGATTGCTTGGGTGGGTTGGGAGGAGTTACTTGATTGCGATCAGGAATGACGAAACTGACTCAGAAGGAGATTATCATTGACGTTCCATTGGCCAACAAGCTTATCTGGAGAGGCTTCAGCTGGCCTGTGGGGAACTCATTGATCCTAATGTCTAATTTTATTTTCAGGTGACAATCTCTTGTTACGTTTACATTGTGCTACTAAACCCCTGGACATTTGTTTCTGGTACTTGATCTACTTATACAATTTGTTTTGTACGTAGTATTAGATAGGTCTTACTAGGGCAATGGATAAGATTTTAACTTGTTTTTCTTCTCCTCTCGTGTTGAGTCTATCATTCTAATCAAGTTAAATATGTAATTACATTGTAGGGATGGGTTGGGGGAGATGGGTGTTACAACCAGATATTGTATATAATGGCTAAGGTAGCTTGTTCCACTACCATATCCAAGTTAAAAAATGGCTTGGTAAGTAGCATGGTGTTTGATAAAGTAGTGCCACTGTTAGAAAGCTTGTCAGAGGTGCACTACCTCGGCGTGGGCTGCTGCCAACTGGGTTTGAAGCACATTAATCTGTTGCAGAAAGGAAACCGTCCCAAAGCAACTGTACATGGTGTCGCGCATTTGCTTTATAATCTATGCTACTAACTGCATCTTCTGGCTGGTGCTCTGCTAACTCCTGCAATTAATTCCCTCACAATTTGGAAATTACGTCATGGTATAAATAAAAACTAAAAAGACTCAGCTGTAGAGATAAAATATAGATTACAATGATTTGTTACAACCCACAATGAGGAATAATATCACTCGAAGTGATAAATCTTTTCGAAGCTTCTTCAATACCATCAACAATGAAGTCTTTGATGTTGGGTTCAAATTTGTGCCCACACCTGTTAAAAGAACTGTGAAACAAAGGGAATGACCAAGAAAAATCCACAGGAGATACAACCAACGGCAAGTATTTTAGTTCCAACATCTGTAGGATTACTATCAATTGCAATTTTAAGAAGTATAAATTCATCTGAAGCTAAATTCTCCCTAATGAAGTCATACTTCACCTGGACATGTTTTTATCTTTCATGATACACAGGGTTTTTAGACAAGATCAACACACTTTGACTACCGGTAAAGATAATAGTATTTGCATTAAAGAAATTCAATTCACATAATAGGCTTTTCAACCACATGCATTCTTTTATAACTTGAGTTAATGCAACATATTTACTTCAGTGCGGAAGAGTGACTATAGATTGCAACTGTGATTTTTCAGTGATAAATTATCACCCAATAAAGTACAGAAGTATGAAGTAGTATATTTCCTCTTATCTTTATCCCCTACAAAGTTGGAATCTACATAGCCTTTTAAGTATCACTTTTTTTTTCAAACGTTGATCCCTTTTTAATAGTTCCAACTAGGTATCTCAATAGTCATGTAAATGCAATCCAATGAGGTTTACCTGGATAAGACATAAACCTGATCAAGAGACTACCTGCATATGCAAGGTCCGGTCTCATGGTAATCTAACTGCATATCACTGAATCAATGACAGTAGCATAAGGAAAAGTACTTATTTCATGCTTTTCTTCTTCATTTTAGGGTATTGTGCATGATTACGCTCAAAGAATAATGCGGTAGTTGTAGTGCAGTTTTGGGTGTTGTATCCACAAGGAGATGAAAAATGCTTAAGGGTTCCAAAATGATGAATTATTCGTCTTCAATGTTGAAAAGTGAAATTAAAATCAATAATTTGAGGCAGTCAAGCGTCAGAATTCCCTCGATTGGATTGGATTGGATTATTCACATCAATTATTCCATTTTTATAACACAATTAGAGGCTTTCATTCCGACACTCTAATCAGAAGATATATCGTGAAAATCAATTTAATTTACAAATATAGTCCTAGCATTTAGACTTAACACATATTCACACAATTTTGTTGGAACAAGATCAAAGATCGACCATATACATCAAGCATAAGGCAGTAATCAATCCGTCAATAAAGTGAAATTGAGATTAAAATTCAACAATTAGTTTAATCTAACGATAGAAGAAGCNAATTAATCTCAACAATAAGTAATTGAAATTGAAACTCAATAAATAGTTTAATTAAACAATGGAAAAAATATGATTGAATTCATGAAAAGTTTAGTAATTATTAAATCGATTTCATATAAATTTATGAAAAGAAAAGTCTAAATCCTAATAGTATTAAGCAATAAAAGACAAATTACATGAAATAATAGATGTGAAATCATCATATCCAATTGAGTTCCCCCCTTGCTTCACCAAAAGATTTACTTCTTCATGCGTTTCTTGAGCAAAACGAGATGAAAGGATGATGAATAATGAGGAGTGGCCGTTCCAGGGTGTTCTGGGTTGTATTTAGGGTTGAAAAGTCGTGCAAGGTATGTTACCAAAAGAGTTTGAGTTGTAGAAGGAAAGCAGAAAATTCGCGTCCTAAAACAACCATGCAGATAGTTTTCAGTATTTTAGTTGTATCTTTCTCTCCCGATGTCCGATTGAGGTGATTCAAGATGCGTTGGAAAGATGACTCAAAGGGATACACCTTTGCTGCAATATCATCTTCGAATTCGATTTTTTCCATGTTAGAAATCGGTCTCAATATGAGGCTGAAAATCGGTACAAAACTTTTCAGTTTGAAAGTTGATATGTGATAATGTTTTAGCTATATTTCATCATTTTGACTCCTTTCTTCATTCAATTGACTTCTAACACTCTCAAATACTCATCACACGATTAGAAACAAGTTTAGAGTATTTTCACTTTAGTCCTTGAACTTTCACTTTCTTCCATTTTGGTTCTTTTTCACTTGTTTTTCCTTATTTCTGCTACATTCATCACTTTGTCTTGTAAAACGTAAATTACATAAAATTAAGCTATATTCCAACATATTAATCAACATTTTTTCATGCTTTGACAGTGAAATAAGTGTGTAAAACGCACTTATCAGTTCAGAAGATAAATTTATTTGTGTTACCATGCCAATAATTTTTCTTGCTTCTCCTAAATCTTTTATGTCAAATTTCGATTTTAAAAGGTTTTTCATCTTTATGATTTCAACTTTACTAGGATTATTAAGCAACATGTCATGAACATATAACAATAAATAAACCTCATAGCCTAATGCAAAACGTAAATTACATAAAATTAAGCTATATTCTAACATATTAATCAACATTTTTTCATGCTTTGACAGTGAAATAAGTGTGTAAAACGCACTTATCAGTTCAGAAGATAAATTTATTTGTGTTACCATGCCAATAATTTTTCTTACTTCTCCTAAATCTTTTATGTCAAATTTCGATTTTAAAAGGTTTTTCATCTTTATGATTTCAACTTTACTAGGATTATTAAGCAACATGTCATGAACATAAAACAATAAATAAACCTCATAGCCTATTTTTGAGTTATTATAAAACCAACATAAATCAAATTCATTTTCGTTTAAAACCAATTTTAAGCATGTAAGCATCAAACCTTTTATACCATTATCTAGGACCATGCTTAAGACCATTCAAGGGCTTTCTAAACAAACACACAAGTTCCGACTTACCCTTCACCTCAAACCCTTGAGTTGAGATATATAAATCACTTTATCCAACTCCCCATGAAGAAAAGTTGTCTTAACATCTAGTTGCTCCAACTTCCAATCATACTCGATAACTAAGGCTAAGACTAATTTGATAGTTTTATACTTAATGACACGTGAGAACACTTTATTATAGTCTATCCCCCTCTTTGAGTAAATCTCTTAGCAACCAACCTAACTTTGTATGTTAAAAGGTCATTAGGTCATACTCCTTCCTTTAGCTTGTAGATTAATTTACAATGAACTATCTTTTGATTTTTTGGGTTTTCAACAAAATTCCAAGTCTCATTTTTGTTTAGAGATTGGATCTCCTATCTCAACCTTTTTCAATTCTCAGAATTTTTACATTTGACCCTTTCCTAAAATGAAACAGCGTCAACTAACTTCAAGATTTCACTTGAAACTAAGACAACTACATCAAATATGAAGAGATGTATTTCAAATTGGGTCTCACCTGTCTTCTCTCCCTCTCTCTCACTAATGGGTAATCTTCCAATTTAGTACATATAGATGGATTTTGATTAGGGAAAACACTTTTAGGAATGTCAAAAATTTCAAGTTCAGGTTGTTCAACTACTATTTTTTTTATCAGATTCTACTTGAGATTGAGTTTCACTATCCTCTATGTTAGAATTAGGGTGTGACCCAAATTCTATTTGAAATATTATTTGGAATCATATTCGAAATTTATTTGACAAATTCTAGTTGAAATTCTATTTGAAAACCCAAATGGAAGTTGAAATTTGTATTGGACTTGAATATGTTAAGATATGGACTAGGGAGAAATTTTTGGCGCTTTTTTGGTAGTGGGCACTAGCCTATCGCTTGAACGACGTTGTCGAGATTCTGTGCAGATAGCTAGCGCTCGCTTGGCCTGGCGCTCGAGCGGTGGCTAGTCCGGCTCAGGCCCCGTTTTCGCGTTTTGATGTGTTTTGAGCATTTCTTCCATCTAAAACTCTACTTTTATGATTTGAAACATCTCCTATATATATTTAGCTCTTCATTGTATTTTAGATTAGTTAGACAAAGTTGTAAACAAAAAATCTTTGTATTTTTTCTCCATGTTTTAATGAAATCTCTTTTACTCTGCGAATTATTTTGTTCTTGTAATCAATTACTTCATATTGTATCTATAATATCGTATTTTCTTCAACAAATTGGTATTAGGGCAATCTAATATCATAATCTTTTTTTCAACAAACTAGTATCAGAGCCAAAGGATTGGAAATTCTTGAGAAGCAAGGTTTGATCAAGTCAATAGCCCGACTTGTTCTTTTGTGATGGCAACCGTGAAGTATGATATTCTACTTTTGGATCATAGCACTAAATTTTCATTATAGCAGGTAAAGATGTGAGTAGTACTCACTCAAATGGATTTGGACTATGCGTTATTGGGTTTTGACAAGATGCCCACAACTTGAAAGCCAGTGGAGAAACAATAGAGGGAACAAAAGGCTCTATCTCAGATTCATCCTCATCTTTCAAATAATATTCTTAAGATGTTTTGAAGGAGAAGTCTACTGCTACATTATGGCCAAAATTGGAGTAATTATGCATGAAGAAGAGTCTAACTAGCAAATTGCATCGGAAACATTGTCTATAATCTCATCGTATGACATAATATACATCCATTGAAAGTCACCTAGCTATTTTTAAAGAAATTGTCGCTGATTTAGAAACCTTGAAGTTTAAATATGATGAAGATTTGTGTTTGATTTCGTTGTGTTCGTTGTCCACTAGACACGATCTTATATAGTTGTGATATTCTCACCATTAAAGAAGTCTATGATGCTCTATATTTAAGGGAGAAGACGAATCATCTTGTTGGATCTGAGATTCATGGAGATGACCTCATTGTTGATGGTGGTCGTGCAAGGGACAAATTAAAGTCTAACTTCAATTTTACTTGATAAAGGATTGCTATAAATTGTAGAATAAAGAAAAATTAGCAACAAATTAGCAATCAGAAACTTCAGGGGAGCCAGAATTGTAGAAAATTGTCACAATAATGGAGAACTTTTACTTATTTCTGACTA